CTTAAGTTCAGTTATTATTTCTTTTTTTATGAGCATGACTAGATATTTTGCCAATGTGGTTTTAAACAAAGTGGACGAGTTTTATATTTCTTCATTGGCGATTTGCTTAATTGAAATGATAAATTGGAACTGCACATGCGCAGTAGGTATCAACAGTTTTGAATAGCTGTTTTCACAATTTATTAATCCAAACATCCTTTATAACCCTATAAACTCTCTGCTGAATCTGTTAATCTCCTTAGATGTCCACGTGCGAGATTTAAAAAAAAGAAAACGACACATATCCCATGAAATTCACGCATTTAACCCTCTTAAACCTTTGACGTAAATTACAATAAAGAAAAACGGCTTAAATTAATCTGCAGTGACGACAAAGCGAAAGCTTAACCAGGACCTGATCACCCCACCACAAGTCCAAAAAGTCATGCACATCTCTTTCTATCATTTTAATTCCCTTATTTTTTTTATTTTTAATCTTTTGGAAATATTCCTCACCTCATTGTTCAGCAGTTTTTCCTCAAAGCCTATGTTCATGGAGTCAAAGGATCTTCCTCTGCGTGGCCCCTCAACTTTGTTTGAGTACATGTTAAAGAGCTCCACTTTTCCTAGAAGCTCTTTTTTCTCTCTCTGCTGAAATCAGTTCATTTATATCTTCTCTCTCTGCCCAGGGAAGCTGAGGGCTTTGCTATTTAACCACACAGAGAAATAGGTGGGGGCAATAATCTGCACCATGCAGCAAATGGAAAAGAAGCAGCGCCTCCCACGTCATTAGTGGGGGGAAAGGGGGGTGTCTTTCTTTGATTTTTTTTTTCAACTAAAAGCCTGAAACAGCTTCAGGGAGATCAGTAATTTAAGAACAAAATGCACATCTAAAATTTAAAACTCAAGATTTATACCTCCAGCTCTGACAGATTACTGTTGGCTCAGACTTCATCGTTACACGAGCAGATATTTGCTCCTGTTCGTCGACTTCATTAGACTGAAAAGAAAAGGTCAAGTTTAAGAGGATCCGAGTCTTTTAAAAATCCATTCCATACCCCGTAAGCTTCTTTGACCTCCCTTGTTGTACAACAACAGGCCTAATCTGAGTGTTTTCTCTTTGCCAGCCTGCACCTTTTTTAAGAAGATCAGGACAATTAGCAGAAAAGGCTTTTGATGCGCTTCAGTAGAGGGTTCGCTCATTTAAACAGATAACTTCTGTTTCTCTAAGCTTTGGTCACCTTCCCAACCAGACAGAGGAGAGGTGTCTGTGTCTCCTGCAGCTCATTCACACACCGTTTGTCTCAGGTGGGCCTGCTCCGAGCCACCCGTGACATGAAGCCATGCTTTACACAAGCCAGGAGGCAGTGAAGGGAACTTCCCCTCCTCCCCTCCCCCCGTCTGGGACTCAACCCAGATCTGCTGTCAGGTGTTGGACAATATTCACGGAGAGCAGAAACAGCTTGTTTTAAAGGAACAAAGAGGTGTGAGAGCACCCACTCTGTTCTGGTGGTCCTTTCAGTCCAGATGAACCTTTTCTGTGGAGAAGCACCAGGGTTCTTCCTCTTAGGGACATGATTGATGGCGGAAGCTCCTTACACATTTCAGGATATTAGTCAACAGAGTTCCACCATATTGGTTCCCAAAAGGACTATTGGCTCTGGCAAGGTAGGCCTTTATAACAGAAAAGGTCATAAAAAGGTAACAAAATAAACAGGTACACACACTCATGCACCCAAGGCCATATAAAAATGTAATATTTCAATAATAACAATAATAATAGTAATAATACTATAATACTCATCATGTTTTGACTTAAACTGCTTCTAAAAACTTTTAAGTTCTCAAGTTATAAGATGATCAAAAACGATTTCATAATGCCACTGAGAAACCTTGAAATTTGTTTAAAAAGTTTTGCTTTATTAAACCACACACACACACACACACACACACACACACACACACACACACACACACAC